CCATGAATTTTGTTTAATATGTAATCTGAATCTTTCTTATTGGATTTCTACTTTATTACTACTTGTTCTAACAGGTTTTGTTGTTTGGTTTTTTTTTTAAAAAACAGAATTTTTTTAGATTTTAAGGATGTATCCTGTCTCCCCTTAGTGTTCTTTTCTGTAGACCACACAATTTCACTTTTCACCTTTTCTTTGACAGTTATGTTTCATAGCCTTCTAATCATTCTTATTGCTCTATTGTACATGCTCCACTTCAGCAGATGTCTCCTGAAGAGCTGTGATCAAACTGAACGCAATACTGCAGCCAAAGCTACACGCCAACTGAACAAAGCAAAAAGAATATTCCGCATCCTCCATACAATATTCCTGATTTACACTGCAGTATGGTGTTCAGCTATTCCGCAATATGTCATTGTTGACTCATGCTAGACCTGTTTTATACAACAAACCCTAGAACCTGTTCTAAATAAAAGCTATTTGATCAATTGTTTCTTATCTTCTTGTTCTGTATTTGTACATTTGATCATTTTTTTTTAAAGGTAGAGTTTTGTACCTTTTCTTACATTGCATGTTATTTCTTCAAATCCATTCTCCAATAGGTCAAGTTTTGAATTGTACTCCTGTCTTCAATTGCAATTGCTTGCAGTTCCACCCCTACCAAACCCAATTCACTTGGTCTGCAAGTTTAGTCAGCTTATTTTCTGTTCCGTTTTATAGATCATTAATGACAACATATCCCAGCAAAAGTCTATTCAATATATCTGCAAATTTCCAATCTGTTTTCCATTAATTTAGGAAAGTTTCCATTAGGCCAGATTTCCACAGCTGCTAATAGGAATGATCTGTGAGACAGTATCCAAAGCCTTATTAAAAACATAAGAGCTCTTTTATCTTAAGAGTAAGATAAAGTTACAACATTTACTGCTCCTCTTCTGTCCATGAGACCTGTTATAGATGCAATTTAGACTGGATTAAAACATTTTTTCCTTGCAAATCCACTTTCACTATTACTTCTTTTCCTGGTTTCTTCCAGATGTTCAGTAAAATTTCATTTATTCATCACAAATTCTTTGGGAATTTAAGTTACACTGTCTAGTCTATAATTTCTTTGCTTTTACTTTTAAGCTCATTTGAAATACAGACATTGTATTTTCTTTTCGCTTCTCTAGACTGCTGTCTTTATATCTTTGTAACTGGTATTAATTTTCTTAGCTGTCTGTCTGGAGTTTTACTATACCAGTGAAGGACTGTAGAAAGAAGTATTCCCAGCATTATCTGTCGGTCATCTTCCCTCTACTAAATATCAAATCAGTGCTTTCTTGGTAACGTTACTAAAAACACAAAATGATTGCCTATTTCATTTACGACCGTTCCTAACTATTTTGGGACCTTACCTTTCCAATTCTGTCCCAATATGCCCGTACTCATTTATATTCAAACTCAATAATCTGATTAAGTAATCATTTGGTTTTAGCTTTCCTTCTGTTTGAGAGCACAGAACCAGTAGTTCTAAATTTTGTACACTTTCTTCCATAGAACTGAGGAGAAACTTGGGTTTTATACAAGTTTTGTGATATTTTGACCCAAAGTCTTAAGTTACAAAAGCTATTATATTTGTATGATCATTGGACTTCACTTTTGTATTTTTTTAATATACCATTGGCCATAATTTCAAAACCTTTTCCACAGAAACAGGTAATGCATCAACTCCAGAAATGTCCAATGCACCTTTTGATTAAGTTTTACACCAAGTAAAACTTCAGAAAATGAAATTGTGTTGTAATACATTATATGCAGAAATAGAATTTACCGAACATAAAGAAGCTGCAATCGCCATGCTAGTAACTAATAAAAGCAATCAAACATAGAACGTACTCTGTGAGGAACCCAAGAGAATAAAAGTATAAAGATAGGAAAGGTATATTTCAACAGGATAACGAAAATCACATTATCAAAGGTTCTCTACAATTTTAATGACCTGTGAGTGCATTTTAATTAATTTAAATGTTTAAAGCAGTACTCTATGCACATTCTTAATCTAAGAATATTTATGCTCTTGATACTGGCTTATTAAGGGCTAGATATGTAAACAGTTTAGCCTAATTGCCTGTTACTGTATAATTTGAGTCTTGTAACAAAGACGTTAAAATCAAGAGAATACATTCTCTCTCAGAAAAATTCCAGTTGTTTTTTCACTGCTTCAGTGATAAACTTCACATCAAAGGGACCTTAGGTTCTAAATTATATGTCAGCTTTTACAGGATATTACAATAACACAATATATGTCTGTCCTTGAAGAAATGTTCTCGCTCAGCTATGAGTCATATTTGCATCTACTTAAAAGTAAGCACAGGCATTTGTTAGATCACTATTTAGCTACAAGACACAGAAAGGATTTTAAATCATTTTCATCACCATAGTTCACCCCTATGTAACTGTACAGTTAATACAAACATTTATAATTTTCTCAAGGATACAATTTCATGACAATATATTTGCTTTTTACTGAATATGATAAATCCAAATGCCTACATTTTAAAATGGGATAAACTGTTCACTGAACTTTTGTAAACTTTAAACGTTCACTTACCTTTACTGAAAAGAGCTAAACAGTATTTGACAGTGAATTTTACCTGTATTTCCCATACTGTTTTCTTTTTCTCTATTTTTGTCATAAATGCACTGTTTGAACACATGTTTTTTAATTGCCTTTATTTCTTCCATATATTCCTCACCTGAACTCCATGGAACTGAGCAATTTATGCTCTGACTTACTTCCTTTGTGGTAGAAAAAGAATTCAAATGAAGTGTAGTCTACTCTGAATACGTGTAAGTCAATTTTACCCCCCGCAAAAAAACATTAAAAGTGTTATTTTGATTATTGTAAATGAGAACAAGACTATTATTTATGGTACGCTCTTCAATAAAGACATTGCCATGTCGAATCAGTGTAAGAAAGAATGTAAGTCACATAAGACACAGCAGAATTTAAAAGATCTTTTGATATACGTCAAAGGAGATGAGGCACCACACAGAAGTTTGATCCCAAATACCACATAAAATTATTTAAGGAAGGCAAGGCACTCATTTATACCTAATCCTTTTGACTGGAACAAATACTCAGACAACTAAACTGTTGAGTAAGAATGCACTATTTAAAAAAAGAACTGTAGTTCAATACATGTGCACTACAGGACACAGTTCTGTGAGTATCTTTGTTTTAAACCGATTTTAACTCATTCCTTCACCCTCTACAGACTCATAATTCCCTCTGCCATTTCTTTTTAACAGCCTAAAAAGATAAGACAATTCACATGCAGTATCTAAGGTGGTATCGTTTGTTAGGGGAAAGGAAATATTTAGAAATAATAGATCCAGGAAATTTGAAGTGAAAAAAGGTATTGTTCCATTGTTGGAAGAGATCTTAAGTCTCACACTTAAAGTTTTACATTATTGCTTAGCCATGGTAAAGTCTAGTACATTCAAACACGCCCATATTTTCTGATGTCTTATTTCTGGAGCTACTCCAGTTTTCTAATCCATTGATTAAATAAAGACATCAGGGCCTCTGGTAGGACTCATTTGGGAAACATAAGATCTGCAGAAACACAGATGCTTGCCAGAACCAGTCAACTAACAGCGCTCATGAATTTCAAAGAACAAGAAAGAGCGAGACAGGCATACTACCTGTGTAGAGTATATATTCTGGGGGTGAAACATAACTCCACTGAAGTTTACTATAAAAATCCTGATGACTTCAGTAGAAACAGGAACAAAAAAAATTTCTAAGCCAAGAAATACTCATCTGTTCACAAGTCCAAATGAAGAGACACCTATAAGGGTCTAAGATGGAAGTTTCTAACCACTGAATGAAGAACAGGGAAAGTGGAGATGGACTGCCCGGCAGGTGCCTCAGTAATACTCAGATACTAATAGCTGGGGAGACACTACAGAGAATTATTTACAGTATGTGGTGAGAAGTAAACAAAGAAAGCAACAGAATATAGATTTATTATTTTTTTTTTTATTTGGAGTTTCAGGAGAATGAAAAGGGATGAAACCAAAAAATGTTATGTTTGTCAGAGAAGAGCACTGCCAGCGTCAGACAGAAGAAATGCCCTTGTAAAAACAGAAAGAAACATACAAAAAAATAAATCACCATGGACATATTCTTGTGGAGACAGGGAAAGGAAAGACTGAAGCTGATGCTACATCAACGTAAACTAAAGGTTTATCTTCTCAAAAAAACCACAGTTTAAATTAACTGTGGTTCTCAAACAAAAATAGGCCAGTGTAACAGTTTTAAGAGCTGAAGAAATTCTAGATATTAGAATGTTTACCTTAATTTAGAAAAATAAAAAGCACTGTTATATAGTCCCAAAATGCAACCTCAGTAAATAAACCAAGTAGAATAAAGTAAGTAAAGAAAACAAATTCCTTTCAACAATAAAAACAATTCAATCAGGAATTAATTTTGATTTTGCACAACTTCCAAACTGAAACAGCAACACACCTTTGGTATACTCAAGTTTAGAAACTTTCACTGACTATTAAGAAATCACCAATTTATTGCCCTTAGTCTCCCAGATGTGATACCTTTTAGACCCAGCTGAAACAGGTTGAAACGCTTGAAAAATTTGCAAACACTACAGAATAGGTCAGGATTTCTCCAGTTAGAAAAGAAATGTAACAGAGCAACAAGCATTTATAGCCAGTGCTCTTCCTCTGCAGGGTGATTACACCAGACTCCTGAAAAGTAGCCTGCTAGCTTCAACTAATCAAAGTTCCTATTATTCCCTGAAAAATCAGTTACAATAGAAACTCGTATTAAAAATAAAAGACATGTTACCTACCTGTCCTATTTACTTTTAATAAGCATTTGTCACTACATGACAGACTTCTTTCAGTCATGTTGGACAAATGTTTTTCACCACAGCCTAGTACAAGTTTAAACTATACTTTGGATTAGATACTGAGCAACTGCAAAGAATGCTGCATACCTTTGGATATCTCTTGCCTATCTTCTTCTCTACGTCTTTGACTGGATCATGTGAAGAGCTTTCAGCATCAAGGATTTTTTGCTGCCTGGCTTCCTGAAGAGCTTTCTGGGTGGGACCTTCCAACCCTTTCTTCCTTTGACATTCGTGGCCTGCTGTAAAATAAAACCAACAAAAATATCATCAGAATGCCTTTTTTACTTACTCTTCTGGAAGATATCTCTTTACTTAATATTAGTTAGACATATGAAATTCTAAAAGAAACACCACTTTAAATGAAAAGATATTCAGGTTACTGCTTTAAAAGTTAAAGCTGCTGCCACAGATACCCTGAATAACAACCTTCTCCAAGGAATGCAAAATTGCTTTATATGTCAAACACTTTCTACTCACTCAGTAACTGCTACCCACTAGCACACTGCTCATGGAGCATTTGGTTTGTTGGTGCTTTTGAAATACACATACTTATAAGCCAAGAGAGTTATGACAGCTGAAGTGCTTAAAAAGTCAGTAACCATTAAAAAAAAGAAAGAAAAAAATTCTAAAGAACTGTTGCAATTGCACTAAGATGTCAACAGCTTGTGTTTACAGATTTTCTATTCTGATTGCATTGTACATGGAACGGGGACAACCAGGTTTAAGTACTTTAACTGGTGCATTTTAAATTTCTTTTTGCATGACCTTCCAACAGCAATTACATCAGATCAAGAAAAGGAAAAGCACAGTTAACAGGCTTAGCAATGAGTTAATTCAACCATGAGTAAAGAAACTCATTGGGTTCAACTTTTGAATATAATTGGGTAATAAATAAGAAGCTGTTGTTTTTAGAAAATACAAGAAATGGACTGAGCAAGTAACAGTTTTATAACATGTTTTTAGAACCAACTGCTATAGCAGCATTCACTTAGGTTTATAAGCAAGCCACAATCAACACTGTTTAATTCCTTCAGGCAAAAGTGGTCTTTTTTCAGAGCACCACTTAACACTGCGTCTTGATCCGTAAGTAAGGGTGCAAGTGCTCTGTTAATATACACCAATAACCTAAATAAAAAAATTAGTTATTTCTCTTTGATAATTAGATCCCTCTATGTACAATCTTGTTAACTAACTGTTAACTAGTTCCTCTCCAACTATTAAATGTCCTTCATATCAACTTTAAACAAGCAAGGTAAGTAAATAGGAAATAAAAACTTAAACTTCTAATAATTAAGACACCTAAAGAAAACTTTCTCTTGAAGGATTCATGTACAAAGCACTGTTTGCAAAGCTAACCAGCAGTCTGGCAGTGGGACAGCAAAAAACCCTAGTAAATAAATTACACTCTCTATGTTGTGGATGCTATCCTCTTCAATTGTTTGAAATGCATCAGGCCAAAAGCTGCTACATCAAATGCCTAAGTAGTAAGTCCAGAATAGTTGTCCTAAAATTAACATTAATTACTGATAATTTTTTCTTCTACCTAGCCTCCAGATACAAACTTACAATGCAAACTCATTATGAATACTACAAAGCTTCCCTTTGTTCTTCATTATGCACTACATGACACCCTCAAAAAAAACCCAACCAAAAAAAGCAAACCCACAATGGATTGGATGTGCAGGGCCTCATTGCCACTAATCAAAACCTCAAACACTTCAGCAAACCCCAAACTAATTAAAAGCCACTCTCAGTGCCCTCTAGCCAAAGCCAGCATTCCAAGTATTGTGTGGTCAACTCAGGTTGTGGGACAGAAGCAGTACCAGGAGCAGTGTCAAGCAATTTCCTGCTGCTGGGAAGAGCCATTCTTGTTCTTTCATGCTCTGCAGTGCAGTGAAAGCAGAAAGCTGGCCAGAAAAGGCATCTTACCTTGGCAAACGATAACTTGCCAATCTGAACATTCAGTATCTTAAGATTACAATGTACTAATGCATAGAAGTCAGCCCTGAAGAGACGGCAACTGAAAAAATGCAGCTGTAGGTCTCCTTACAGCAGAGATTTGCAAGTGCAACAGCACTGGTTCCTTCCAAACCAAGAACTTAAATTTAGAGAAAAATGCAGCAAACATTTCTCCAGTATCTACGCACTGCTTGCTTCTCAAGGTTTCGATTACACTGTCTCATGAATAAGAATTCAAGAGGCAACAGAACATGACCATCTTTCAAGAGGCAGCAGAAAGTCTGCTCTCAGAATAAGAGACAATATGACCCACTGAGACATGAGTATGACCTACAGAGGGCAATAAAAATTATGTAGTACTAGAGGACAAAGCACTGGAAAGAAATGAACTGAAATACCGCTTAATTTATGATACACAGAGTACGAAGTAAATTAAGGCTTATACAAGCATGTGGGTGGCTGATGAGCTTAATAATTTGTATTGGCGACACAAATGTGATTTTTTTTTTTTTAATATTGTTATTTATAAAGTGCTCCACTGCTTGTTACTTTTTGGTATTATAAATTGCTCTGAAGATTTTTGGAGAATAAACAAGAAGTAGTGTGAACAGCCGGAGAGTGGTTTTTAGAATCGCTCAAACAACAAATGAAAGTATGTGAAATACGAAAAAGAGACAGATGGGGCATCTATACTGTAAAACACTAGCATGAGGAAAGCACCCACACTATATATCCTCAAGTCTGAGTATAATGAAAAGTCGAATGCTATATGCTCTAAACTAACATAAAGTAAGAAGCCTGTTCTCTACCTCCCTACCTGAAGTGGGATGAAAATGAGCACTGTGCTCTTTAGGGGGGGGCAGAGGTTTATACTTTTAGTTTTAACAAGATTTAAAGACTACAGCAGAGCATATCTAGTACATACAGCCACAGAAAGGTATTCTGGGGGCCTGAAATTGTGCCTTGCTGAGGAGTACAATATTAATTCATACAAAAAAAAAGGAATCGGAATCCAAAATCAGAAAGATACTGTGAACACTGAAGAGGCTTGCTGCCCGTACTTCAGTATTCTACCGTATTAACACATCTGAAGTCTATATTTACAGAAGTTAGTTTAGTAGCTATTTGCTTGAATACCGAATTAAAATTATAGCTTAGTTTATACTGGGTAAGACTACAGAACCTTCCAGGTTCTCCCAGAAATTAAAGCAGCTATGTTGTTAACTAAACAGTAGTTTAGAAAAGTAGTAGGGTGTGCTCCAAGGGACACCTCAGCTATGGAAGCCTCCCATGGCTGCATGGAAACCAAGACCTGAGCTAGGATGAGGGCCATCTTTCAGATAATTAGATCTCAGTCCAGTGCTCGTAGCAACTCACAACAATTTAGGAGACCAACTGCTTCAACCTACATTAGATTAGAATTTGAAGGAAAAAATTAAACCAAATGTGCTATACTTATAATAGGCAAGCAGTAGCAAAAATCTGGATAGCAGTTGAAATGTCTGCATTAATAGTAAATAAGCCATCTTAATAGTCAAGGAAATGCTTGCTATCCTCTTCACTCAACTACAAATCCAAAAAGAAACAAAAAAGTTTATGTGGTTACTATTCTTCTTCTCAGCCTTGTCTTTTCTACAGGAATTTTATACAATGGAATTAACTCCATGAATGTGGGAACTAATGAAGCTTGATTGTCAAAGGCGGGGGTAACTCAGTGGCTTTTTACCTGGGGTATATTACCAGTGCAAAAGGAAGTTTAGGCCTTTAACACACTAGGAAAAACCACAAAAGAAACAGATATAAAAAATGTTCTAATTGCAACAAATGCCTCACCTGGAAATTGTATAATATCTAATACCTGGTCACCTATGTGCCTGAGGAATTTGGGGTTCTCCAATGTCAAATAAACTGCAATCTCTGATTGGAGTTCTGCTCATGAGCAAGGCAGGTGCAACATCCCCTTCTCATGTGAATACTCTGTTGTCAAAGAGGGTAGAGCTCACTGTTTCCCTTTTTCATTATTTCATCTATTTTCAGGAGTCTTTTGGAAACCTGGTTTGAGACCCACCTCACTGACAAATGTAGCCGAAATTGGAAAACAGGTTCAAAATTATTAGTGGGAGTGATGCTCACAAAGAATGTGATAGCATGGGCTTCATTTACTTAGGAAACCAGAGGTGCTAGGTTTTTTTCTGATGGAGTTAGAAAAATAATTTATTAATTACGCATTTATTCAAAACACCAGGGAAGTAGTGTAGTACCATACAGATAAAGGTATTATTCCAGCAGGTATTATATAACCTTAGCAGCCTCCTGTAAAAATGAGACATGCTAAAATAAGAGGCTGGATTTCATAACACCAGTATTTTCAAAACGTTTACAGACCACCGTATATAGCTTCTTACAGTGAGCTGAAAAAGAACACTCGCATTAAAAAAAGAGTATTAGTGAATAAAATAACAAGTAACAAAATCAGACACAAAATAGATTTCCAGGATAAGTCCTTTCACAGTTACTCACATATTCCATACTGCCATCGGTAATCTCACTGTCCTTAGTTTATACATTTCAGAATAAATATTTAAATGATAAAATTGTTGCTCTGTCACCAGGACAGCTGATAAAATGTTTATAGAGCAAGTATTTTTGATTTATTGTTACACCAGATTTTGAAACGCATCACACCAACAAAACACCCATGACCAGTCTGAGCTTGGTGATGGGAATATTTTACCTTTTGTCACAGGAATCTGAATAGCCCGCCCAGACTCTAAATTTTGTAATGTGGCTTGCAAACCTGTAACCTAATTTTAAAGAGAGGAGAGAACAAGAAGAGGTAATATGAAAACGTTGCTTTTGAACCGTGTGTTCACAACACACAGCACTTATACCTGCATATTTGAGTAATAAATTCCATCTATGATTTTTGAATTTTCTGATTATTGCCTTTAAGTTATAAACATTATTCCTAATTCAAGATTTTGGAAAGGCCCAGTGAAACAATGTGACAAATACAAGTCATCAGAACCTCTCAAAATACTTTTACAGCTCTATTAAAACAATGCAGACATAGAATACTAGGGCTCTTACTGCATCATCAACTTTTAACCACTGCTATCACTGCACTGATCTTTAACTTAATGGCACAATATGACATACAACTTTGTCATTAGAAAATGCCACAAAATATGGCATTATGCTTTACTAAAAAGCCATCACTCCAGAATGCATACAGTTCATAACTGGATAGGTCATATATGTTCCTGAAATTTCATAGCATTGGAACTGTTCTATGTTTTGTAGTCCTGATTCAGCATAACTGTATATGGACAGTAACCTTTCTTTTTCCATAGGACATTTTCTTTTACTTATTGAAATTTCAAACATATAATCCTCAGTCTTTTAAAAGTAAGCTCTCAGGTGACCTGAGAAAAATTGGAGGCAGAAGAAAGGAGAAAACGAGAGATGAGGACTATTAGAAGAAAGTGCAAGCATGGTAAATTCCTTTCATGTTACCCACATACAATTGATGCTACTGCTGAAGTGCAGTGCATTTTGGGAGGGTTTTTTTCTCTCCTCTTTTTTTGAAGAAACAACCCACTGGTTAAATAATGCAAGATAATTTTCTGTTCTTCATCCGTCCTATCTGCTCAAGGGGCGGAATATCATGTATTTCAACCTATACATCAGATAAGATTATAGGAGTAAAATACTACTCTATTATTCCACCCACAAGACAGAAAAACTGTCTCTGATATCTTAATGTATTTTTTCCTAAACGAATAGGTCATTCCTGGATATATTTAGGAAAAAAAAAAAATTGTAATAAAGAATGTTAAAGTAGAGATTTCTAAAGGCACAGATGGAAGTATATGAATCTGTGGGAATATCACACCTTTCCTCAAGCTGTCGACACTGAAAGTATAACAGGGTCTGCACGTTGCTGACTCATGTAGAGCAGCACTGACCAAGTACAGACTGAGAACTACTACTTTGTGGCACTATGTTTCATACGCTTTCAGTATTAACATTTCACCAAGTAACATGAAACTCACTAAAATGTTCTGCTTCAAACTATCACATAAGTGAGTTGCTTTAATAGAAACATCCTAAGTAAAAACAAAAAGCATTCCCTACAGCTTTGCAAGCGGTGTTCACCATAGTTTTACCTGCCCAACTGCTCTGTCTCTCTCCAAACTAGTTAACATTTTCTGCCTCAGTGTAGTCTGGTATTTTTCAGTCAACTGCTTCAGCACTGGTTCATATGATGCATAATGTGCCTTCAGCCTGTGAACAAGAGGGCAAATGATTCCTCAAAGATAGTTAAATCAGAGATTTATGCCTGTGTAACTTTTCTCCTCCCCAAATAAAAGAATAAAAGTGCCAAAAGGTCAACGCAGAGGAGACAAAGGTTTTCAGTATGTAACCACCCACTGGAATACCACAAGAAAAAAAAAGTGAGAAGTCAGATCAATAAGAGGTTTCATAGTTTGTTTAGTCATATCTTTTAAAACAATCCATCCAGTTTTGACCTGTTCTTAATCCTTCATACGCATATTGCGCATTAATTTTTGTTAATTTCTGTTTTCTTGCAGATGGATGATATTTCATTGGAAGAAACAATTACAGCTACTAGCCAACTACCAACTAAGATCCCAATCTAGACAAAATAGTCGTAATACGATTACTATTTCTTTCCTCACTGCACATTACATTTAGAATACTTAACCACTTTAATTCTTTAGTTAGATCTATCATCTCTCAAGAGAAACACAGGACACTAAGCTTCAAAAATACTGTGTTTTGCAAAAAGCTGACACAAAGGACAAGTCAGTGAATAGTGCTCTCTTGCATTAGTATGTATGGATTTCAGGGTTAAAGATGTAGAACATGTAGTTGCTGTTACATGCATTTATTGACAGCAATATTGACAAGCCAAAATTCTGAGACTTGTTTGGAGCTGCAGATGTAAGCCACTCCCCAATGTTATTTTAAAACAAGTGCTGGCATAAACATGTGCAAAGAAGAGATTCTAAACTCAACTCTTTCACCTGGCCCAGTGATCTTCAGATGGACAATATAAAAGTTCTACTCGTGGAGGGAAAGAAGCACAACAGTTAATAGAAAACTTACAGAATTCCAGAATGACAAAATTACGGAATTAAAAATTATAAAATAAACCATTATAACTCAGTACCAATGGACTAGTTTGGGCTTATTAGCAACCAAAGCCAACATAGCAAATTTCATATAAAAAGTTCAAGATGTAAAAGGGCAGAAAACACCAGCTATGGGAATCACGAATGCAAAGATTCTGAACTCAGTGCGACACCAGTTACCCTTAAAACGGACAAAGGATCTAAACCCAGAAATCACTACATATTTATGGAAAAAGATCTGAGTAAAAGAAAATCTCATTTATATTTTCAGCTATTAGAAGTACTATGTATTTATTAATGCTACATCACACCGTGCAAAACATTTTAAAAAAATCATTAGAAATTGTTTAAGAGGCATGGCAGAATGGTCAGATGGAACTGCTATATACCAGGACACTAACTAAATGCAACTAGCTTTACTTTAGCACTTTAAATTCCACCATGTTATCTCATTACCAGGCAACAACTGAAGACGTTACCTTTCATGTTACATGTATGGTAATTAAAATCTTTTTTTACCTTTTAATGTCACAAATAAGCTTGTTTTTCTCCTGGACGACTCGCTTATGATGCATTCGATGGAAGTCACGTTCTTTCTGCATGTTTAGGAAAGCCTCTTTTGCTTTGCTATATGTAAACAGAAAATGTAAGAGAGAAGTATTAGTCTCCTCCTATTAATTGCTCATCACGGTATGTTGAATATACACAGAATTAATCTTCAGATATATGTACATGCCTACTGCATCCAATTTGGAAACTTTTGGTAGTATGTCCTGGGGTGAAGAACACGTACTTTTGAGGTCTTTTTGCTGCCAGCTGATGTACAAAACCATGGGTACTCTTCACCATAACCTTTCCTCAGTTCCTTCAGATAGAATCCATAAGGATTCTGGCATTATAAATCTCAGATGTCAACCTTACTTTAAGAACACCAGCTCTTGTGGAGGTACACATTCAAATTACAGGTGATTAGAAAACAATACTGTTGTGGGTTTAAAATTCTACATGAAAATGTATTGCAATACCAATTTTCTGACATCTACTTCATGTCTGGAGCCCAACAAAATGGTACATCCTAGAAGGACACACACAGAAGGATAACTGTATCGTTGCCTTACAAAATACATGCATTTAGAGAGCTTCTGGAAAAAATTGTGCTAGAAAAGTTCTAGGCTCTGTTCAATCATGTTTGCAGCCTGTTCCCAAGTTTCCCCTGTGCGTGACAGCAGGAAGCAAAAGGAATCCATTTCAAAATTAATTGCAAACATTCTGATAACCTGTTATTCTCTAAGCACATTCTACACACAGTCACAGGACACCCTGAGATACTCAGCTCCATAAACATAAAAGAAAATACTCTGTATGTATTCTCTACATTTTCTCCTTGTCTTGACTGATAAGGGTTTGACAGGAAAGATTAGTAGGATGAATTGTTAAATTGCAAAGGAAGCTTGAAATTACCTTGCACAGAAATTACATATATTTGCTCTTTGCAAAAATAAAGCTCATTTCCTCTCCAACAGAAGTTGAAGAGTTAGGAAAACCACTATGATAGTGGAGTATGCCAAAATCACAGGTCCAGGAAGAAGACCCATAACTGCCAGTGCATTATATTTAATTGTACAAATAATTTATATTTACTCTATATGCACTTGCTATATTTATTACCTATACAAACTACCATATTTTTATGTGTACATTTATATGTGAATTGTTGCTTGTAGCAGGAACAGTTAGAAAGACCTGCAGAAGAGCACAGTGAATTAATGCCACTTTATATATCAGCCAAAGCTGAGAAAAAGCTGGCAGGGAAATGAAAACAGGCAGCGCTGCCCCTACAGTTACACTGTGAAAAGCTCGGAGGAGCTGCGGGCATGCACATACCTTTGTGCATGCACGTGCACAAATACCAGAAGTTGTGAAACAGAGTAACTTAGGATATTGGTATTGGGACACAAAGTACAGACTATGATTCTGCTCAAGCTCCTATGAACAGCAAAAGATTTGAGAGGTAAATGAATCAATGGTCTCAGGATAGTTCTGTGAAAACTCCATCATGACACCACTCAAAATCTGACTTTCTATAAGATCTTGAATAAAAAACCTGCCCCTTCAGAGCTAAGCAGATGGCTTGTCCTAGGAGTAAAAGATGTTGCTGCAGCCATAGCAAAGCCAATATCCATTTCTTTTAGCAAAGATCTATGTCAAGACTGCAGGTCTCCATTTAAACTTTTCTCGAGCAAACAGTTTGATAAAAATAGCAGAAGAGGGCAAGGTCCAATAAAACCAAGTAGGGATTTTCAAAGGTGAGTTACGTGCCCTGTTCCCACTGAGTTTAGGTGGGACTTTATTCCCCAGCATGCTGAAAGTCATAGCCCTAAAATTTTAATTGAAATAAAGACAGTTTTAGAAAACATACTCTCACGCTTTTACTCTATCTAGTTCACATAGCATTTAGTAGTAAGGATGCTAGATGTACCATGTAATTAAACAGATGCATTTAAATATGATGCACAATACAAAAAGTGTGCATTTTATTTTTTTCATTGTGTAAGTGGAGAAATAGGTGCAGGAATGGTTGGATTTTGGCACAGAACTAGGCAATCAGCTGGGGATTTTACTGCTGGTGATAGCACTAACAGTAATAATAAATATGATTTCTAGGATTGCTTTATATTTTGACTGCTACTGTGGCTGTAAACTGGGTGTATATTTGTGAGCATGCTTGCAAAAATTAGGACAAAAGATACCTGCAAATATTTAAACTTCCTAAGCGATGTTTGTGAACACAGTTACAAACACAGTTACAAACCTCAGACAAAAGCTGTACACAACTTTCATTCCACCTACCTAATAAATTCCTAAATGTTTATAAAGAACTTACAAATATCAGTTAGCAGTCGCTGTGATTAACACAATCTTGAACCTGATATACCATTATGTTGTCTGCCTACATGTTCAAATACAAAAGGCAATAAAAAGGGTCTGGCCATAGGAAACCACCAAAATATATGGGATTCAAGCTATTTTAAGTCCTCAGATAGGCAGAGTTTAACAGTGCTACAAAACTATTCGACTCACAAGCAAATCTTACTAGAAAATTAAATGCTTGAATGACACCAATCATCACTGAAGACAATGAATTAAATTCAACTAGTCTCCTGTAAGAATTAACGATTTTCAGAGATGTTGTTTTCAAATTTTTTGTGCATATTGGAAAGAATATCTATGCTTCTATTCGAGAAATACTGCAGCAGATAACAACATCCCTTACCAATCAATCAGGGCGCAACTCTAGCCTTCAAGATAAAAGAAAGGGAAAGGGAGTACACTTAAGTTATACTTTAACTACTGTCACATGGCAAACCAACGTAAAATTAATTTTGATTTCTATCACAACACAATGTCTGTTTCTAGAAATAATTTAAATAATGATTAGTAGTGTATCTAAACTTTCAGGTAGTAACTATCACTGGCTTTGGAGTAAAATAATTATGCTGATATTTATTTCTTTAATATATGCACTCAGGGATTTTGTTACATCCCAAAGTGCCTTCAGACGTTGGACAATCTATTAAAAATACATACTCATTGTATACCGGAAGTGAAGCTGATTGTGATTTTCTCTTTAAATAACGAAACACCACAGTGAAATGTAACCAACAGCCTGCAATCTACTCTACTTGCCCACCTGCTTGCCATGCAATCATGCAAATACCATATTGAAATACCCAAAATACAATTACAGTTAGCTTCTAGACACTGAATCTCTCCCACCAATTGCTAAACAACATTAAAGCAGTATGTAATTGGTTTACAGTAATTTCTTCTGGGCCCCCATATTGCCTAAGTCCCAAATAGCATCTCTCTTCTGCAAGATGGCTGTCAGGAGTACCAAGCTCAGAAACACCAAATGTAATTAAAAGCTTTCTTCAAATACACTTCATAGCACTGTATCTCACAATGAAAGTTTTCTGACTAATCCACAGAGCAAAATATGACACTTTCTTTGCTCACAGATACTTGGTTTCTAACCAGTCAAATCAGCCTTTCTTCAGTGCTCTTAGGCATTCTGTTTTCTGTGTAACCTGGTGAATTCTCTCTCGTCATACTTGAAAACTCAAATTGTCCTCCAGGTAGTTTTGGCTCCTGTTGCAATATTTGCTTTATCATAGCAAGGGTACTGACTACAGTTATTGAATGCATGAACAAGAAAAAATGCTGTTAACAGTCACTACAGTAAATGGATTTGGGATAGAGTATTACGATCAAAGTTTACCCAAAAGACACAAAGGAACACTGTCATTCATGGTACGTACAGCAGAAACGCTCAATTTCACCCATTATTCCAGGAACAGTACTGTTTTAATTCATAAGTTATTCAAAACACAGTAAGCAAAATGAATTTCACAGAAGTGCTGAACTTTTAACATTAGTATCAATGAAAACTTTGAAAGTTATTTGAAATAAAAAGGTTGAAAAATGAAGTAGTGACCATTAGCACAAACCAAGTTTCACATCTACATATACTCCATTCTAGTATTAGCAGAAAGACTATGAAAATAAAGCTCTCCCTACAAGTGGGGAAAGGAGGAATCATAGAATCATTCAGGTTGGAAAAGACCTCTAAGATTGACTAATTGTACTACTCTTAATAAGGTATACATGCAGAATAAGTGTAGTACTTAACAGTAAATGCCAATGAATAGAATTTACCCACTTCTAATTTGTGTCATACAGAACTCCCCTGTATCTCACTGCCCTCTCTGGAACACTGAACAGGTGACATACCTCACTTGTTTACCACCAGAGCATTGCTATTTTATATTCCATCAAACACTAGTATGTGAGAAAGCAGGGCACAGTTTCAGTTCATGGATTTATTTTTTTAGCACAGATCACTTCTTAAGTGAGTGTTAGGAGTTTTATTTAACAGATAGCCTGTAGGAACCTAGCATATTGGCAATGTCTTTTCTCTCTCCTGCTTTCTTCCTGTTGCACATTATCATCTTGTCTTTCAGTCTTTTAACTAGGCATATGCTATAAGAAGTTTTCTGGCACCCTGTAGAGTATATAGACATTCTTATGGGAAAAACCCAACTCATTCATGACCATGGTGAAATGGTTTTAAACTTTATGTTTGCAACAAGCCCAGGACAACTCCAATGGCATGGCATGGCCGTGGCCTGGTACAGACCTACAACGATCATCTACTCCAACTGCCTGACCAACTCAGGGCTGACCAAAAGTTAAAGTATGTTACTAAGGGCATTGTCTAAAGCCTCTTAAACACTGACAGGTTTGGGGCAACCACCACCTCCCTAGGAAGCCTGTTTCAGTGTTTGGCCACCCTCTCAGCAAAGAAATGCTTCCTAATGTCCAGCCTAAACCTCCCCAGCCCAGCTTTGAACCATTCCCACATGTCCTATCACTGGGTATCAGGGAGTACCTCCCTCTCCACTTCCCCTCCTCAGGAAGCTGTGGAGAGCAATGAGGTCGCCCCTCTAGTTTGTCTCCAAACTAGACAAACCCAAAAACCCTTAGCTGTGCCTCACAGGACATTCCTTCCAGCCCTTCCACCAGCTTTGTTGCCCTCCTCTGGCCACATGCAAAATCCGCCACACCCTTCTTAAATTGTGGGGCCCAGAACTGCACACAGTATTTAAGGTGAGGCCACACCAACACTGAATACGGCAGAACATCATAATCTGCTCAGATTACCTTGTTACAGCACATTCTGCTTCATACAGAGGAAAAAAATGAAAGAAAAAAGGTGGGGGAAAAAAGTAAAGCCCATTAAAATTGCTACTGACAATAATAAATTTCAGAAGGACCAGATTTTGTCTTTCCTTCTTTTACTATGCATTACTGCCGCTTACTCTCCCACTCAAGGGGGAGACAATCACTAACTATCCATTGTCCAAAGAAGCTGCAGTTGAAAATAAAGGAACGTTTTCTATATGGCCTATCTCCCAGTGCCACAGTATATTTAGACTGTACAATATTTGACTGATTATTAAAGCTGTTTACGTAACTATTAGACTATGGCCAATTAATTTATTAATTTAAAGTGTAATAAATCATTATCATTGGAAAATAATTTGATTATAGTTACTATCAGCAGCAATTATTACTTAAGATCTGAGTAGCTGTTTTTCATATAAAGGAACAATATAAATGAAAATTAGTAGCTTGAGCAATCTTGAGGAAAATCACAGAGATGGAGTTAACATTTTCTTACAGCTCCGTGTTTTAAAAGTAAGCACTGGCAAAATTGAAGTGAGTGCATTATCAGGTCTCAGGGTAAATTCGCAATGAGCACATACATGTGCAGACAGCCTTTTCTGAAGAATGGCACATGTTACATGTAGTTCATTATTGCATCTCTCCATTATATAGGCTAAATATTTTAACTCTTATGACCGAAGTACAACTGACTTGTAAAATCAGCTACTACAATGTACACACAAGTATAATCAATGATGGTAATTTACAATGACATACCATTTACCACTAGGGCCAGAGTGATAGATTTTTTGCAATTAAAAAAAAATGAAGGATAAATGTATAGTGATTTTTTTCCTATGTTGATGTTTTGTGGTAGCTGTAATTTATAGTACTGTATTTTAATACAAAATGCACATAACCATTTATTTTCTAGTTCTACATGTTATACTCCCATGATTCTTTGTAGTAATTTGTTGTGATCACTGCATATTGAAAATTATTTTCTATAGCCCAGTAAATATAAATAAAAGAAATTAAGATTTAGGTTTCTAGTAGAGCTCAGAAAATTGAACTTTAATTATACATGTCACCTAGAAATAAAAATATGCACAGCCAGCATAACAAACAGGAACTTATTTCCATTAAGTACTTGCGTTTACTTTATCTGGCCATTTACTACTGCATATCAAAGTTTCATTAAGACTAAGTAACATACTTCGCAGCAAGTTTACAGTTTTCCAAATCTTTCCTCAAACGCATATTCTCAGCTTCAAGTTGCTGGTTGCGGGCATACACAGTTGGAACCAATCCAATATCTTTGGCTGTGAACACACCTCTCTGGACAAGTTCATACCTAGTAGAAAACAAATGGAGAGATATTTTATTCCATGTTTCCTTTTTCTCACCTCACTGACGTCTCCCTTCTCATATTAGCATTTACCTAAACTAGAATCAAAGATATTTATCATCTCAAGGCATTTACCTTTTATGATCATTAACAACTAGCAACAGTACTATCCCACCACACCGCTCTATTTTACTACTTTTCATTCTGAAATGCATTCTTCTTCATAACAGTCAAGAGACATGTCCTGTATAACACAGTACTTCAATTTAAACAATTGTTCTTTTCCTTCCTTTCTTCCAGATAGCTTAAATAAAGGACAGAAGAAGATATTCTTGTTCAAATAACATTTGTATATACTCACAGTACTCTATCTCATATGCTCAAGTATATGCAAGAAATTTTTTTTCTGAGGATTCAAGTAAGATGACAAAGCTGTGGATAACCTGGATGAATGATTCTATGAGCTATCTTCAACATGGAATACAGAGCTCAGATAGGGAAATCTCTTCATTCCTTCCTGTTTACTTATGTTGCCCTCTCCTTATTTAATTATATTTACCAATATTTACCTATTTTACCAGCCCCCAAGAAAACATGATTCTGTGATGCAGAAGCCTGAAGGCTGCTTTAGTTAAATAAGCATACAGACGAACTTGCATTTTGAGAAGTAAAAGGTAATCTGGAGCAGCATGTGATGCTGTGTAGCAACCTAGGAATCTCAGTAGCCCCTGGCAATAAAGTCTACTCAGTCAGCCTCCTATCTTTTAGGACTATCCATCTTTTGGTAGGATGTCGATGAAAGCTAAGAATACTCTAACAGGCAGTAAAAAGGACATAGGCATTGACCCTATTCATTCTAAGCTTAATTTAAAGGCATTTAAATACAGAGCAACTTAAAGTACCTAAGTATCTTCTATACAAAAAAAAAAGCAAGCGGTGATATTGGAAAGGATTCAGAAAAGCTTAATTTGATCAAAAAACGTGATTGTCACCACACAAAATAAATGCTTCTACAGAATCATGCTTGTTCAAGGAATAATTATAAGCCACCAGTATTTGTTAAAGTATTTCAAAAGACATCAAGATTCAAGTCTAGATATAAGAGAGTAAGATGCTTCTGTGCAAGCAGACATCGCAGAGGTGATTCCAGAGTCCAGTACATGTATATACAAAACATCTATTTCTTCATTTACTTCTGTCCCAGAAGACAGAAGAGCAAGACCTTCAGTTGGTAAGAACTTTTACAGACCCACTGAAGACAAAGACATTGTGCACTATGGTAGCCGTGATTATCAGTTCAGCATAGGTTCAATGGAGTATAAATAATTTGTATCAGATCAAGACTACAGGCCCTCAATCTTCTTCCCTGCTGATCTTGACTGTAGCTGGAAGATGTTCTGGGTGGGGACTCACCAGAAGGAATAGTATGAACATTATTTGCCTTTTCAAGGGAAAAATATATTGAAGCTTTTTTTCAAGTGACAAGGAAGTATGAAAAGAACAGCAGTAATTAGATAAAAATATTAAATGCTATCTCCTGCACTTGGACACAAGCAGCAGATTTGAAGTTTGAAGACAGTAAGCACAGCATTTCTAGATCAATAAAACATGTTGCAGAAACAGGAAGCATTTGTAGAATAAGGGATTCTTGCTTGACAAGCAACTCTTACTTAACATCCTCCAAAAAAATTAAGGGGAATGTTAGAAACTCTTATGTCCAAATGACTTCCTACAGCCAACTACTTATCTGTATTCTGTGGATACTTCTAGGAATGCTCATCCCTATGAATTAAGCTGTCACTCACATCCACCACCAGTAGATGAAAGTTTTTTGAAAAGTTAAACTGAACATGTCCAAAGCAAAATTCATTCTACGATCACTTCGTTTTCTTAAGCAAATTACAGTAGCAACAGGCTTTAATGCTAAGAAGCTTAGTCTTTTTTTTTTTCCAAATAAACATTGACTGATGAGCAGATAAAATTCTTATTGGAAGTATTGAAAATAAGGGCACTTCTCATTGCAAATGATCACAACTCTACACACTCCTTTATTTCCCAGAAAAGTTTCTCCACTGAATGCTTTAACTGCACCTCATGAAAACCATCAAATTTCTGCACAAAGACACATCAGACATGGATAATTGATGAACTTAGCCTCCAGCAGAGCTAAGAACTCTGAATGACAATTTTAATGAAATACAATTAATACCAATAAATTCACTATGCCCTTGCCTAAGAACACTACTAAAAATGAAGGCTTTTGTGCATGTAGTAGAAATGGAATAGAAAACCACACCACAAAACTGCATTGTGAAGTCTCACTACCTTTCACCAACCTAGTCCCGTAAAACTTACAGAACTCCTACATACCTAGCTGATTGCCAAATACCTATTGTTCTCACTTTTTTCCATTATAGAAGGGAACTGTGATGCAAATTAAATTAGTTCCACGCACACACAAGCATTTTGCTAAGCTTTTCAGAACAACTGAGTTATTATTCTTGAATCGCTATTTAAAATTAACCAAGAATCTGGAAACCTAAGGAACAGATGGTCAGCTATGATTTTATGATCAAAGCCCAGCGCAGACTGACTAAAAATTATACATTATTACATAAATTCAAGTTTCTAAGAGTTCTAAAGGAATCAGGTTGCAGAGAGGCTCTGCAATAAACTAACTGATATGTAGCTCAGGATAATCCTTTACCAGGGGATAACTCACCTAGAGATGTATTCAGGGATTAAAATTTCAAGTTTTAGCTTTTACAACTTTTTCTGAAAATTATCATTCCAACTGATAACCTCTTAGACAGTTTCAACAGAAGGCTAAGAAAGAAATAAGCACAGAAAAATAAAGCACCTTTTTGCCCCAGTGTACTCCTCCAACCTATTACGGCATATAAGTAGAAAATTTACATTACCATGTTATACCTGTTATGTAGGCAAGAAAGTAGGTATGTCCACATGGCTTTTTGCAAATCAAACTTGAGGTTACTTCACTTGTGTTCTGAGCCAAAAACCTGAATCTGTTTTAGTGTGATGCTGTCCTGGAACTGATAACCCTCATTTCTCTCAGGATTTATGAACTCAGAGCACAACGTACATTAATGTGACCATACGATTTCCAGGCCAAAGAGGACACAGAGCAGAGGAAACTTAGGTCTGCCTGAAATAAGATTGTTTCCACTGTCTTCAGGGAGTTGTGACATGGAGGATCACAACCTATATTCATTTTCTTCATTCCGCAAAAAGGAATTTTTTTGTGATGAGTCTACCCTTATGCTCAGAGAAGATATAGTAGCTTTGTCGCATGTGCTCTGTTATGCACAACCCAGGCAATCTTGGCAAGCAACACACAAGACAGACACGGCTTTTAACCTTGCTTGGTCACTTAAGTTTATTCGTAATTTTAACCACATCAAACAGAAAAGAATTTTCAAATCGTGTTTCCGTAATTAGTCTGCAGCTCTCCTTTTACTCACAAGCTGAAACACTGCCAGGTCTCTAGGAATACTTAGAGATTACCAGTCCAATGAGTGTACTAACTAATCACAGTGATAGCTCCACGCGTATGTGTGAACAGCAAATGATTCATCCGCTCATCAGACTGGCAACGTGCTGCCAGCAGCAGTGAGCTCTTTGGGATTAGGAGGTATAGACTGTCAGACGCACAAATTTACAGTTGATCAGCCCGTGCACTTCATACTCCAAAGCTGTCAATCCAATACCTTTAATAAGCAAGGAAAGCACTATAAAGTCTTGTATATCAAAGGAATAGAAAATTCAATGATAAATTAGATAGTCCAAAAATAATTTAAGTCTAATTTGAAGTTCTTTAAAGTATAACTGGAAGAAAAAAGTGTACGTGCAAAAAACTACGTAAGTTAAAAAAATCACTACAAGTGTGATAAAATTATTCATTACATCATAGAAAAAGAGTGTGTTTGGCTCAAAATAAAACATAATCAAACCATGACATTTTATATAGCTGGATAGAATAACAGAATATTTTCTCAAACTCTGAAATAAACACAGATAATTTGGTCCAATTTAAGTGACCTTTAGATCTCAGACAGACAATTATTTCAAAGCAAGCCTTTTGATAAATTTTCTCTACATTAATTAATTTCTCATTTTAAATTCCATTAGTACTTGATCACCACAGCATGAGAGCAAGTGTGTCGTCCCAATACATAATGAGGAACCTGGGTACACTAATCTGCTCTCATTTTCATTAATATTGTAAATTATCTATTTCAAACCAACACAAAACCTTTTGAAATAAGGTATTAATGCAGAAAAAGTCTCAATACAGTAAGCTTAGATCTTGACATGCTGAGTTCATTTGTAATGCTACTGAAATTAAAAATATTACTTAAAGAAAAAAAATATATGTATAGCTAAGGATTTACAAGATAGGGCCTGCTAAGATCTGCTCTTGCTCTGTTAAAAAGCAATTTGAATTTTGCCATTGATATAAATTCAGACTCTAAGTGCTTCAAAGAAAGCTGTAGTTTCATAAAAAGGTCGCTATTTATATCTGCCTAGTATTAATTATCTTTTTCCATAAAAACTGTTAAACTTCTTCAAACTTAATGCTATTTATATCAGTTCTTTTGTTGAAAAATACAGAACTATAGTGCTCCTTCTAAAGGAATCATTTAAGTCACATTGTTACACCATCAAAAACCAGATCATTATTAATCCTAAAGGCAACACCTGATTGGTGAGCTCTATGCTAATGAGACCACAGCTTGCAAACAGCAATGATTTCTTCATTAGAGAGTATTTCTAAGAAAATTTAAAAGCTTCAAGTCTTTTGTAAGAAAAAGTAAGATGTTTCTAACTTTTCAAATTAAACAATTCCAAAAGACCTTACTAAAAAAATCTCTCAATCTCTGACGTTTAAAGACTGACTACAAGGAAACTTAGGGAGATATTTCCACTTCTCAGAATCTTTCCAGTATAACTTGCAGATTCAAACCAAGTTTGTAACTGAAAGTATTTCAGTAGAACTTTATGACAAGCACAATGTTTTGCTCCAAAATAATACAGCCCTCCTCTCAAGCTTTGCAGCACTCCTACCACATCATTCCTAATAAGTATTAAAAAAGTATACACCCTGTGGGATTCCATATGTGAAGAGAGTGGTGGAGGAAGTGGAGTATTTAGACAAAGCTGCATTTTTAAACTCCTGTGAGAAGTATGGATAACATCTCTGCAATCTATAAAAGCTTGGGAAAAGAAGACAGCAGCAGCTCAAGTTTACTCTTCTGATTACTATATGAATTAAATTTTAAAAAGAAAAAAACAAACTAACCAACCATATTATTTTGACTGATGTACCAAAAATTACCAAGTATCAAATTGTGATTATTCTACTTTGAAATACAAGGTACCTATGATGAATGTCCAAAAATACCCAAACAAGTAAGGTGAAACCACAAAACATTCACTTTTTAAGCAGGCACCCAGGTTCTGGAAAGCCAGAAAATAACAAAGCCACATGATTTCTCAGCACTGCTGAAATGAAATGGTCATTTTGCATTGGACTCATTTGATCCAGTGATTACTTCTGCACTGCAGCTGGTTTCTAGTTTTCATTGGTAGTCAGTGGACAGCAGAATACACTTGAAAAAATAAAATTTAATTCCTTTCATCTTAAAGGACATGGCTTAAACAGCTCAGATGAGTTGCATCCTAAAATGAGTATTTCTCTTCACCGATCACAAAAGAGACCTCAGGTCACCACTTGAGGCTTGTAAATGTCTAGACTTAGGTGAAATGCATACAGTCCTACAACAGTGCCTGTTTAGGGATCCTTGGAGTCAGCTTTCTTGAAAGTCTGTCCTTAAAACAATAGCTTGCATCCTCATTCTCAAGATGAATATATTTATTTGGTACAACACTTTGTATTTAAGAATTACTTGTACTCAGAAGAGTTTTCTGGAAATATATCCTGAAATACCAGAAATATTTGAATCCTGAGCATCTACTTCCTAATTCTCAAAGTAATATGGTCACTTAAAACATTTTACCATTCAGTTTGGAAGCAGTCAAGGGTTCTGGACATTCCCAATCTGACCAGGAAATTGCAGAAGAAGTCATCCATTGCTTCAGGTATTTCAGACACAGATTTCTCAGAAGTCAGAACTGATTGCAAAGCCTGAAATTAAAATTTGATAATTGTTATCAAACCTACAAGAGAAATGTAATTATTATACCTTCTATTTCTGAAGTCATCTAAAGTCACAGACCTACTGGAGTACAGCTGAGTGTTATCCTTGTCTTTATTGATCAGATTTGTAATCACTGATCCTTCTAATGTCAAGGTCTGTGAAAGGTTATAGAGAAATAACTCAAAAATCACCTGATTTAAGCAAGTATTCTGAACCTGACATAACCTGATATGGACTTGAAACTATTTAAACTGATGGATGATCTTCCTTTACTGACCAGAGAGAAGATGTTAGTTCTCATACTCCTGCACCCTTCAGCAACCTTAAAAACCACTGATGAGAAAAATCAGTACTTCATCTAATGAAAAATGCCAAAGTCCAAAGAGCTTATATTCTCTTTGTAATCATGCATGCAACAGAGAGACTGAAAGAACTGCATCTCCATCGTTACATCTCTTAGGAAGTCTCACAAAGATCAATTCTCTTTTCGTCTCAACATCCATATGCAGACACTGAATGAAGCTGCCAGACAACATCGCTACAAGTGTTAGCAGAATGCAGATGGTGCACCGAGGCTTCATATGCAGCTCCGCCAGCACCATCAAGATCGACAGCTATTCACATAAGATCAGCTCATAGGTCAAGCACAGTTGCAAAAAGCAGAAGCAAAACAAAACAGAGCAATCCTACTACAGAGAAAAAAATCCCTTTCACAGCTTTCTGTTGCAATGCAAATTTCTTACCTTCACTGAACCCCACTCAGCCCACTCAGTACATAGCTTGATATTAAGCTCTCCTACAGAGATTTCAAGATGCAAGGAGGTAAGAAAAAAGTAAAATATGACCCACTCTGACCCCTGCAAAATGCATTTAAAGATAACCAGATGAGAGAGACTGCCACAACTTGGCAGCCAAAGAGACAGCCTCAATTCATTCAGACTTCAAATGGATTACAGCGACTTGACATACCCAAATGTGAAGCTCTCAGCGTTTGGGAACTCCACACGGGCACAACGCTACAACGGACTTGCTCAACAATGCAGGCTACTAAGACAAGATACTGTACATGCCTGTTCTCCTGGTGACAGGATGACAGAACAAACCTAGCTTGACAACTATCACAACCATGTTGAAAGAAACTCAGATTCTATGATAATGTGAGCTACATATTATTAAAAAAAACACTGTAGAGAAGAGAAACAGAAACAGCTTCCATACATGCCTACCTTCTTTTCTTCATTTTAATACTAGCAAAACTGAAAAAAATTCCAGTGAGACATTCATCAAGACATGCTAAAGGCTGTGACTGCAAATTATCTCCTTCATCCATTTGAAAAAGAATCTGTAGGCCAGGGATTTTTCATAACTCCATTTATTTATGGCTTATTCATGTCCTTAGTGGGATCTCTATCAACATGACTGCGTAAGTTTCCTGGAGATAAAAGCATTTCTTTTGAGAAAATAAAAACACACATTTACACTGGAAAGTCTCATAGCCGTGTTGCATAACACAGAAAATACTGTGTTTAATCCAAGCAACCTATCTAATATAAACAGAAAGAATTGTACATGTACAATCAAGGCCATGTAACACTGTATTATGAAAAATAAAATATGCCAAGTGCAATGTAATATTTTGCATATTTTCATTACTAGAGATACAGTACATCAGACAGGTCTATTTTCTAATTGTGGTAATACAAGAACCAAAGAGAGTACATCCACAGACATGTAGCTGCAACCCTTTTCTTGCTTCTTATCTTTTATTCTAAGTGAGGCAAATGTCTAATATTGTTGCTTGTAGTTTCCCAAACACATCTATAAAGCCAGTCTTCAGAAGAAATGACACAGCTTGATTCCCTTAATAAATGGAAATATGATAGGAATTCATTTCATCCGTGCGGAATAGAATTTATTAGCTAGATACTAGCACTGAGAACCATTTCAGGAACTGAAGCACAAGCAGGGAACAATATACAGGAAAATGAATGCAGTCTAATAGGCACAGTATTGGAACCGGGCCTCAGGAAACCAGAACTAAATTCCTAGCTCTTCTGCAGACTGAGTGTGATATTAGGCTAACCACTTACTTTTACTTAATCTTAACCTTGGATGACTACCCACAGAATGGCATAACAGGAAGTTTTTGTACATATTTACCTATTTAGAAATGAGGAAAATACAATCTATTAATGTGATGCAAACAGACATCCTATAGTAGCTAGACAAAAACCATCTTATTAAAGGATTCTGACCATTAAGTCAAAATAAACAAACTAAATATTTGCTTTGTTAAATATTTGTTAAATATTTCTTGGTTAAATTTTAATTAAAATCTTCAAAACATTTTGAGTGTAAAGATGGCAAATATGGCCAATAAAATAAATTAATTGCTAAAAGCTTAACCTTAAGGACTTCCACAATACTTGCAAGAATTTCTGTCCAATGAAGAAAGATGAACAGCAAATAAATTAATAATTTCTCTGGGAAATAAGATGTTCTTGCAAAACTTATTAAACTAAAAAACAACATAAAAGGGAATTCAAGGATTTTTAACACATTCAAAAAATTAAAAATCAAACCTACATAAAATACAAGGTTAATGAAGGGCAATGTAACTTCACATTATTATTTTGGATATTAAGAAAATAAAGATGCTGGAATGGAAGGGTAATACTACTGAAGAAAGTATTTCAGCCAGCTTTCTGTTGTGTGTGTGGTTTTCCAGAAGTTCTGCATCCTTTTCCTAGGGTCCCTATCTGTTGAAGATTTTCTTTCATATGCAAAATATTCTATTGCTTATGTTTAAAAATAATTTATATTACTTTACAATATCTCAAAACAAGGACAACAAAAAAAAAATCACGAGTTGCAACTGAAAAGGACAAATGATGACTGGATGACTAGAACAAGAACAGCAGGCAGAATCACTGCTATCCAAAGCATGTGTTGCCCAGCACAGCTGGATTTTTAATCAGCTGCCATTTCACCTCCAGACTAGGGGAAAATGATACCTAGAGATTAGAGCTCCATCGCCCTCATTGCCCTGTTGGGATCCAAACAAGAACTGTAACTGGTGAGGGAGCCTCACCAAACTCCTTAAAGACCAGTAGTTTCACGGCACCTATGCAGAGATCCAGAAGGAAAGAAAACACGTCTCAATATCCCTGTAGAAACACAGCTTTAATTCCTACACACCAATTTTATTAAAAAAAAAAAAGGTGAACAGCACCATCTCTCATTTGCTTATGTTTGCTCTTCTTCATCTAGGAATTAGTGCTAATTACTTTGGAAGGAAGTTTGAAAATAAGCATTTTTCTTAGATTTTCCTGTTATACTTGACCTTTTTACAGAGCTTAGAAGAAACTGTAGTTACTATAAATATCCATAGTTTCTAAATTGAGTATTTGCATTTGGCAAATCACTTAAATATTTTTTGGATGCTCACTTGATCTGTGCCTTCTCTATATACTTTCTTTTCTTAACCAAAAGATTTGCATCTAATATTGAAATGCAATCTTTAATACAGGATTAGGTATACAAGTTACTATGAACAGCAAATATACATAATCACTTAAAAATGTTTATCACAGAGTAGCTATTCCAGGATATGGTTATTACCTAATTTAACATATTTTAGCCAAGATTAGAAGCTAATAATTGAAAAAGTGTACCAATTATTTATCATGTGAAGACAGCCTTCTACTGTGCCTCTTAGCTCAGAGTTTGGATATTGACTCAATATTAATTTACAGGAAACAGTGCTTCTAACTTGGGTCACCAAAAGCATTCACTGCAGCACTTTTTTTTTCCCCCAGTGAATTAGTATCAAACAATCTAGTCACTGATTCTCAAAAAATGTACAGTAAATCATTACATTAAAGCTGTCGAGGAACTAGCAACTGTATTAAAACAATTTTCTATTCATGTTTTTCTGTCTAAAGGCTGGAAATATTATTTCGGTTTCAAAATTATGGAAAAATGAAACCTCCAAATAATGAGTCAAGAAGCAAGAAGACAGACGTCTACTAGCACAAAATCAAAGAGAATTTGAGTTTAAGCACACATGTTCTTTGTTTTAAGGAAAGGTAACTTTCTTCAGTTTGATTAAATGGGATAGATATTAGCATATTGTTTCCTACCACTCAAAGTTCAACAAATCAACTAAGAGGTAGAAGATTATTTAACTATAGCACTGTCAAAAGATCAACAGATTAAAAATATTCTTCCTTGTTTCACTTCTTATTTGAATGTCAACTCACACAGTAAAACAGACATAACTTCCGCTATCCCTAAAGAACACTAAGAATTTTCACTACTTCGTTAACATTAAGCATGTTCAGTCTTTAAAACTTCTGCCATCTTTCCCTTAATTTTCAGGCATATTCAGTTTCAAAACACGTAAGACTCCGGTATTGTCAGTTTTCATTCAAAGCTTGATCTAAAATACAAAACTGATCTGTTGATACGCATTAGTGCAGAAGAAAATGCACATTTTTCCTCCATTTTGATGTTAAGAATCATTCAGATAAAATGATCTTTTCATTATTAATCATTTGCTTTTGCAAAACAAAGACTATGACAATAGCTTACTGATGAGGCTATACGATAGTGGTGATATTAGAAAAACAGCAGGGAAAAACACTTTTCCATTAGATTGTTATAAGCAAGTAAATTCAGGTAAATCACGTTTTGGAAAATGCAATATAACAATCCCATTGTGTAACTCTGAACTACTACATGACTGTTTTGAAAACAAAGTGTAAATGTAAGGAGTTTCAAAAACTAATTGTGTGAAATGATTGATAATTTCATCAATATTTTGATTTAACATAATTTAACAGCCGACTCTATTTTCAATATATGAATCATCTTCTTTAGCAAAGTATTCGAGTACAAGCTTCTGTGGCTCTTAAGCATATGCAGTTTCTTTCCTGTGTCAGGGATCACACTCTCAATCTACTCTGATAAAGAAACAAACCCTAAAGTACTGATACATTGAATTAACATTAATATATTTTAAGTAATCTATCTACATATTTGTTACATGTATTTGAAATATCAGGTTGTTTACAGAACATGAAATGAACAGAAGTTGAAGGAAGATGAAACTCAAGAAACATAAGTTGCCTCTTCCACTGCAGCATATGTTTACCCCTAGAAACTTCTAAAAAATAATAAACAATCTTTTCCACACAAATTTTTCATAAGTAAAATAAATTATGATGTGTAAAATTTTAAGCCACTAATGCCAACTGAATTACAGAGTCTGAGAATGTTTAGGAAGTTCTTACTAGAATTTGGGCATCTTCAGCCTGCTCTTGAACAGTCTGCAAAGCCTTTGACAGATCCTCATCATCTTCCTGAATACTTAATTCATCATCTGCTGGAACCTAAATGAAATGATTTAAAGTTGGGTATGAACATATTTTATACATCTTTCTTTCAGAATACAACCGTTTCCACTTCCAGTACAACTACAGAAAATAATCTCATTCTTGTTAAAATAGTATTTTGCCATACTTAAATAGAATTCGTATTACTGAAATATTCATTATAAATAAGCTGAAACATCTAAATAGAAATATCTGTATCTTTAAAAGAAGTATTTAACATTCAAATAAAAGTAAAACATAACAAATCAACTGACACTAAATCTTCTCTTGAAAAATAAAGATATGCCTAGCATGATCACACTTTATGAAAGGAGATTCGTGTCATTTCTCCTAGGATGCTTTTGTGACTGATGAAGTAAAACAAAAGAATGAAACATGAATATTCTATCAGAAAATTATGAATTTAGTAAATTACCTCTTCATACTGATAATCATCTTTAGAGTCATCTGTTATGGTAAATTCTGCAGATTTTGTTAAGTCTGAAACAGCTGATGCATGTGATGAGTTCCAACTTAAAAGAAGTATCATAAACCAACCATCTATAAATCTGTCATCACCACCTTCGCCCTTGTTCTTTTTGACAGAATTTACACTTTCAAGGTTTCTTTCAGCCTTCAGGTGAACACACCCACCTCCAATGAAGACTATGCATACAGAGACAGAATTTAGATTCAAAGTTTGTATAGTAGGTTTAAACACCATTAAAATTTGCCTCAAAAGATCCGTCAAAGTTAGAAGTCAAGCACTATTTGGAGTTAAACAGTAGCTAAATTCTGCTCTCACACAATCATCAGTTTTCATAGGGCTCTTATTGCACTGAGACTTCCACAGACTTTATGCCTCTAAGCATAAGTAACTTCATGCTCTCAGGGAATGGCATTTTTATCAAATTCGGATGTACAAGGTCAAACACAAACATCTGAGATCAAACACTGAATACTAGAGGACCATTAACTGAAGCTGATACAAGTGTCTTAATTACAAAGCGGCTACAATAAAAAGGAACTTTCAAAATGTAAAAATTCATTTGAAAATTATCTACAGTTCCTCCAAATACTTTAGAGTCAAACTTTTCATTATAAATAACTAAAAATGGCATAAAATGAAACCCAAATAAACATTTTTTTCATCCACTAGCCTCACAGCCCCTGAAAGTGTAATGAAAATGTTTTTAGCAAGATACTCTGTTGACAGTTTCCCTAGGAAATCAGTTAGCCTACAAATGACCCATGTAAATAAACCAGAAATTAACTTCTGAAGAAAAGCTGGCAATTCAGTACTTCACACACATCAAATTTAAATGGTAACTTTTACATATAAAAAGAAAAAAAATATTTTCCAGCTTTGCATCGTTTCCCAAATCTGAATTATTCTCCTAAAAACAGTGTTTTTGCTACAGTTCTCACAGTACTATATATATATGTGAAAGTATCATCTGCATTCAAGAGCCCAGCATCACAGCATCAACAAAACTATCAGTTAAATTGTAACCATCCAGAAGGCTAGCAGCTGAAGATCATGTCCCAAAAAAGGAGAACCATTTGTTTCATAGAGACATGAGATTTAAGATAAAAGTTGGAGAGATGTCACTTTCTCTTCTAAACTAAAAAACCAAATAGGGAAGTCATTGAGTGAATAAAGGCATAATTTTCAGTAATCAAGTCAAAGCACATCTGTGTACCTCCAACTGCCCAACCACACTACATGCTTACTATAAAAACTGTATATATAAATAGGAAACTGGCACGAACGCCTCTTAAGAATCTCCTATCTAGGCTTAGTACATGCAAGAAAATGCCTGTAATACATGTGCCCCCAAATTTACTGCCCAAATTACTGCAGATGTGGAACACAGGACTTGAATTCAAGTTACCACCTCTCTGCATCTCAAATTTCACTCTCTGCAAAAGCTTCGTTTTCTAACTAGACTGATTCTGGAATGTTTAATTCTATAACCTGAACTATGCAGAAACTCATCTCCAAAAAATGCTTACTATGCTTTCTTTCATAAGGGGGGGGAAGGAAGGAACCCCCAAACTATTAGATTTAACAGGCTTAAGTCTGTTCTCTATCACAGCAGAAGAAATCTGGATTAACTCTTCTGACTTTAACAGGAGAGCAAAGAAGTTGTGCGGTTCAATGAATGCACCTTTTCTCAGCGTGGTACTCCAGGACCATGTGTGGGTCCACCAAGGTAAGCAAAGAGAACAGAGATGAAAAATAGCTCATGCTGAGACATGACTGACCCAACAGACTTGCAATAGTGATCAGGGACTCCAGGCATGAGGCTACCTTGCAATTGTCTGCCTGCTCCCCAGTACAACAGGAATGTTTTGGTCCTCGCATCAGCGTCTGACCACGTCCTAACGAAACAACTCCTAATTCCTGGATGCCGTTCCTTCAGCTCAGAAGGAGAAAAGTTCACCTGAACTGCAGATTACATAAGAAAGGGGAACAACAGCAAGGCATGAGTGCAAAGCAGGAGGAATAGGTTTCCTTTATTGTTTGAAAAAGCAAGGAGGATGCTTGCAGCAGGCAAGTCAAGATAAAAAGACAGTAATATTAACTGACTAGTTAGGGTAATGTTCTAAAAAGCCCCTTTTTTCAATTAGATTAAGATATCCAAGCACTAGCTAGCTGACTACACATTCTCTGTTTAAAGAACGAGACTTTAAAAAGTGTGGTCATGCTTGTACAGCGTGAATACTTGGGTACAACATTTTTTGTATGTAGCAAGGGACAATTTCCATATATATGTAGTAATTCTATGTACAACCTAAATACCTGCATGCTTCTCTGGAACCCCAAAACCTCTTCATTACTTTATAGCACAATATTTATCAACTTAAATTAATTTAAATAAAGTACATTTAAATCAAATACTGTACCCAGTGATTTTTCACACCATTTAGTGATTCGATCGGAGGCTATCTTTTCTAAAGCTATCTTTTGTGTGGGCTACAAATGATCCTTCCCCCCGCCTTGACTATTCTTTCTACATTTATCAAATCTTTCAATGCAGACAGAAGCATCACAGCAGCATACCCTTGATGAGTAAAACACTTTCAAACACTGTTTCTCCTGAATTTTCTACTGACCTGACCATCCTTGCGATCCATTATGGTCTAAACTAATGCATCATTGCAAACACTGTGCACAGACTAAAACATTACTTTTAAAATCCTGGGGTTTTTTCCTTCTCTTTTTTCCAAAAATCACAGCCAGATGCACAATAAAAGAGGAATTTGATTTTAAAGCTATCGTATTTTTTGCAACAAACACTGCGTCGATTATTTTAACACATGTACTGATGCAGTGCTTTAGGCACACCACACAGCGTGAAAACAGCTGTGCAGTTTCAGGGAGGTAGAAACTGAGGCACAAGCTCGCTAAGGCCAATCTTCCACTTTTTTTTAAATTGTTTTTATATTGGCTTACATCTTAATTCTAGCAAGGCAGGAAAAACTAAGGTACTAGTAGGGCCTAACACTTAAGCTTTGATTATTTAAGCCTCTAAAGCAAAGGTCGCAAGATCTTCTTGATTTGGGAGCTCACAGCTACAAAACAGAACAGATAGAGCTAGTCTGACCTAGTGACAAAACTAGAATTTGGGTCATCTGGTCAAAAATTACACATTTAAAAGCCATAAATTCCTAACATAATTTGCCACAACTCACTTGTGAAAAGAATTCAAACTGATTTTTTCCTCTCAAAGCCACAGCAAATAAAATTATGTCTAGGTTATTGTATCATCGTCTTTATATCTTGGTTATACACAGTACTAAAAAAACACAACTACCTAGGCAGTTATGTGTGTGGCAGGCGTTGGGCAATTAAAGGAGCACCTCTTACAGCAGCACATTGGGACTGAGAGTCTTAATGACACATCTCATCACTCCTCCGCAGATTATTTTGCATTGACTGATCAACAACCAAAACAAGGGGCAACAAGAGACTTTCAGTTCAGAATTTTAACTCTTGCTTAGCCTGCCCATCAGCAGGGGAGGATAAAGTCACCCTGCTTTTCCTAAGGGTCACTCAGAGGCTATTTTAACAGCCAAGAAAACAAACATCACGTTGAAGTAAAATCCTACCGTCTCTGCAGGAAAAAAAAACCCGCATATTTCCTTTTTAGCCTCCAGGGGCAATAACTCACAGAAAGCAGCAAGAAGGTGGTGAAGTTTTTTTGGCTTTGCCCCCCCTTACTCTGTGAAATAACTTGGCAGCCCGCGGGTCTCCTGCGGGGACGGTC